GAAAAACAAGTTATATACGTAAATGCAGTAGACTTTTCCTTTTCTTCTTGAGTTTTTAAAATGATGTTTAAAAGCAAATAAAATTTTAATAATATCTGAGATGGTTCTAAAATATGTAGAGGAAATATTTAAGACAATTATATTAAAAAATAAGCATAAAGGACTAGAATGGGAGGTATGATTTGTATATTTATAATCAAGCTGGTAAAAATTATGACAGTAGACTATGTTGTTGAATATATATAATACAAATATAATACCTGGAGCAACCACTAAAAAAAGCTATTCAAAAAGATATACTCAAAAGTACTATATATAGACAAATCATAATGGAATTCTAAGAAAATGTTCAAGTAACCCACATGAAGCAGGAAAAAGAAGATGAAAAGACAAAACGGGCGCCTGGGTGGCTCAGTCACTAAGCGTGTGTCTTTGGCTCAGGTTATGGTCTCAGGGTCCTGGGATCGAGCCCCACCATTGGGCTCCCTGCTCAGCGGGAAGCCTGCTTCTCCCTCTCCCACTCCCCCTGCTTGTGTTCCCTCTCTCGCTGTGTTTCTCTCTGTCAAATAAATAAATAAAATCTTTAAAAAAAAAAAAAAAAGACAAAACAGGGGCGCCTGGGTGGCTCAGTCATTAAGCGTCTGCCTTCAGCTCAGGTCATGATCCCAGGGTCCTGGGATGGAGCCCCGCGTTGGGCTCCCTGCTCTGCAGGAAGCCTGCTTCTCCCTCTCCCACTCCCCCTGCTTGTGTTCCTGCTCTCGCTGTCTATCAAATAAATAAAATCTTAAAAAAAAAAAGACAAAACAATGAAATGACAGATTTAAGCCCTAATTATATGATTACATTGAATGTAAGTGGTCTAAATAAATAACTGAAAGACAGATACAGTCACAGGGCATCTAGGTGGCTCAGTCAGTTAAACATCTGACTCTTGGTTTTGGCTCAGGTCCTGATCTTAGGGTCATGAGATCAAACATCAGGCTCCCATGCTAGTGCAGAGTCTGCTTGTGATTCTCTGTCTCTCCGTCTCCCTCTGCCCCTCCCCCCACTTGCAGGCCTCTCTCTCTCTTTCTAGCTCTTGAATTAATTAATTAATTAATAAAATCTTTAAAAAAACAGATATAGGCAGATTAGGTTAAAAACATGACCTGTATATATATGCTATCTACAAGAAGATCGATTCAAATGTAACCTATGGACACGCTGAAAATGAATAAATGGAAGTTTATATATCTTGCAAATGATAATTCAATGAAAGCAGGGGTACCTGTATTAAAATCTGATAAGGTACACTTCAAAATAAAATTACCAGAGGCAGAGAAGGACATGATATAATGACAAAAGGGTTAATCCACCAATAATACACAGCAATCCTAGGTGTGTGCACCAACACAGCACAGCTGCACCAAACATACAACCTGCAAAATATGACAGAACTCCCTCAGTAATTGATAGAACAGAATATCAGTAAGGATTTAGAAAATTGAACAGCACTGTCAACCTACAGTATCTAATCAATACTTAGAGAATACTACCAACACCAGCAGCATACACCTCATTTTCGAGTGCCTATGGCATGTATACAAGATAGATCACCTCCTGGACCATTAAAAAAAACCAACAATTTAAAAGTATTGAAATTATACAGTGTGTTTCCTAATCATAATGCATTCATACTAGAAATCTTTTAAAGATCTTCAATTAAAGATCTTTTAATAGATAATTTCCAAATATGTGAAACTTAACATCCTTCTAAATAACCCAGGGTCCAAAGAGAAAGTATTGAGAGAAATTTTTAAATATTTGAGCCAAATGAAAATGAAGATGATTTAACAGAATTTATGGAGTGAAGCTAAAGCAGTGCTGAGAGGGAAATTTTATGGCACTGAACAATAGAAAAACAATATATAAAATACATATCCTTTTTATATATTGTTCTCAGTGACCACATGGGGTTTACTTATTCTGGAGATGCAAGACTATTTACACCATATTAATAGGGTGAAGAAGAGAAATCAGACATCAATTAGTGCAGAACAAATATTTGATAATATTCACCCATTCATCATTTTTTATAAAGCCTCAGAAAGGGGCACCTGGGTGGCTCAGTCACTAAGCATCTGCCTTCGGCTCAGGTCATGATCCCAATGTCCTGGGATCAAGCCCTGTATCTTGAGCAATCTCCCTGCTCACTGGGAAGCCTGCTTCACCCTCTCCCACTCCCCCTGCTTGTGTTCCCTCTCTCACTGTCTCTTTCTCTCTGTCAAATAAATAAAATAATTTTTAAAAAGCCTCAGAAAAATAGAAATGAAGAATTACTTCAACACATTAAAGACCAGAAACAACCTAGTTAGCACGAAGAAGGTAAACATGTTTGTCTCACTACATTTACTCAGTGTAGTTAGTATTGGAAGTTCTAGCCAGTGCAATATGGCAAGAAAAGGAAATAATAGATATACAGATTGTAAAGGAAGAAATAAAACTCTATTTGACATGCCATGATTGTCTACTTAGAAAAAAACCTCAAGGAGTCTACAAGAAAACTCATAGAACTAGTAAGTTCAGCAAAGTCACAGAAAACAAGATAAACATAATGAAAATCAATTATATTTTTTATACATTAGCAATGAACACATGAATGCTGAAATTAAAACTACAACACATTTCACAGTTCCTCAAAAGAAATGTTTCTATGTACATCTAACAAAATATATTCAGGACTTGTATTCTGTGTACAGAATACACACTTGTCAACCAATACTCCTGTTTCTATAGATTTGCCTATTCTAGACATTTCATGTCGGTGAAATCATATAATATGTGGTCTTTTGTGACTGAACTCTCACTTAGTATAATTTCTTTTTAAGATTTTATTTATTTATTTGACAGAGACACAGCGAGAGAGGGAACACAAGCAGGGGGAGTGGGAGAGGGAGAAGCGGGCTTCCCACGGAGCAGGGAGCCCGATGCGGGGCTTGATCCCAGGACCCCGGGATCATGACCTGAGCCGAAGGCAGATAGATGCTTAATGACTGAGCCACCCAGGCACCCCTCACTTAGTATAATGTTTTCAATGTTCATCCCTGTTCTAACATGTATCAGTAATTTGTAACTTTGTATTGCCTAGTAATAAGCCATTGTATATCACATTTTATTGATCCATTCATCAGTTGATGGTACTTTGGGTACTACTGCTGTGAACATTCATGTACATCTTTTTCTTTCTTTTGGATAGATACCTAGGAGTAGAATTGTTGAGCTACATGCCTATGCAGTGTTTTGAGAAACTTTGAAACTATTTTCAAAAGTGCACCACTTCACATTCCCACCAACAACGTTTGAGTGTCCCAGTTTCTCCACATCCTGGGGAACCAGCACTTGTTATTGTGTGCCATTTCTATTTTAACCATATTGTTAGCTGTGAAATGTTCTTTTTTTTTCTTAAAGATTTTATTTATTTGAGAGAGAGATGGGGAGAGGGAGAAGCAGACTCTTCACTGAGCAGGGAGCCTGATGTGGGGTTCGATCCCAGGACCATGGGATCATGACCTGAGCTGAAGTCAGATGCTTAACTGAGCCACCCAAGCGCCCCAAAAAGTGAAATGTTCTTGTTGTGGTTTTGATTTGCATTTTCCTTATGTCTAATACTGTTGAGCAAATTATCATGTTTGTATTGCTCACGTGTATATCTTCTTTGGAGAAATATCTGATCAAATCTTTGCCCTTTTTTCACTTGCGTTTATGTGTCTTTCTTGTTGAGTTTGAGAGTTCTTTATGTATTCTGGATATATGTTTGATGTTTTTGATGCTATAGTGAATGTTACAGATTTTAATTAATTTTTAAATTATTCCTAGCATGTGGAAATATTACTGATTTTTGTTTTGGCTTGGTATCCAGTGAGTTTTCTAAACTTATTAATTTAAAAGCTTTTCCTTTAAAATTTCTTCATACAATCATCTCTCTCTCTTTTTTTTTTTAAGATTTTATTTATTTATGTATTTGGGGGCTGGGTAGAACAGAGAGAGTGAGAGAGAGAATCCCAAGCAGGCTCCACACTCAGCATGGAACCCAACTCAGGGCTCAGTCCCACGACCCTGAGATCATGACTTGAGCCGAAACCAAGAGTTGGACGCTCAACTGACTGAGCCACCCAGGCGCTCCAGTCATCTCTTTTTTTCAATGTGGTTTTACTCTTCCTTTCCAATATCTATGCTTTTTATTTCCTTTTTACATTTTCATTGAATTAGCCTGGGCCTGCAATACAGTGTTGAGTAGAATGGGACTAGATCCTTGCCTTGTACTTGGTCTTAAAAAGAAAGCATTTAATCTTAAAAAAAAAATGGTTGGCTATATGTATTTTAATTGTTCTTGTTCCTGTTTCCTCTCTTTTTCTTTTGGGGTTAGCCTAGTAATTTTTAGTGTTCCTTTTTTTAATCTCTTCTACTAGTTTTTAAGCCATTACTCTTCTTTTTCCAGTGGTTATTGTGCATTATAGTATACATCTTTACCTTATCATAGTCCACTATTTATTCTTAAGGTGATCTTAAAAATGCTAAAATTGTGAGGTTTTATTTCCAGAATGATGACTAAATAAGTCAGTGATAAATATCTTTGCATCCTTTTCTTTTCCACGCTGACTCACCTTTTTAAAAAGTCAGATCACCTCTATAAATATCTAGTACTTGCATTGTTCTTTTAAGTCTTTTCAGGCTTAAAACTCTGTGACTTTCCACAAAACTCTCTTGTTTACCAAAGTAAAGTTGAAAGCACCATAATATATGGAGACTTCATGTTAGGATTTGAATATAATAATGTGACTTCTTAATTTGTGGAAACCTCTCACTTCCATTTATACGCCTGGATATGAGCTCAACGCTTGCCTCTAGAAGCAACATAACCTTGTCCACTTTGTTGAGTTATCAGTTCGTTTTGTACCTATGCTGGTAATTTTTTTTAAACAATCTTTTCTTTAAAGATTATTTTGGCTTTCTTCAAACAGGATGAATTAAACCTTGCTGATTCTGAAGTGGATAACCAGAAACGAGGGAAGCGGCATTATGAGGAAAAGCAGAAAGAACATTTGGATACTTTAAATAAAAAGAAACGAGAACTCGACATGAAAGAAAAAGAACTAGAGGTTATCCAACATTTCTCTTTTATGTTTTGTTTACCGCCTTAGGGCTGTTGAAGTGTTTTCCTTAATATCACCCTTCCAAACACAGACACATGGTCTGGGGACGGTCCGTCTCGTGGAGAGGGACTGCTGTTTCAGTGAATCCGTGAGACCACCCACCGCGGAGAAGGCTCTAGCTCAGACAGCAGGTCTAATCTCATGCCCCTGCGAGATTTGGAAAGTGACACTTGCTCTCAGCCACTTAGCTCCTTCAATGCCCAGCTTGGCGAGTGGATAGCAGCTTTATGTCAGGAAAAGGCACCCCTTCCTCCGAGTAGCCTGGGTAAAAGAAGTGCTATGTGTAAACGTGCTTTGAGTTTTTTAATATTTTATGGATATGAGGCTCTTTTTGTTTGTGTTTTCAGTACTATTTGGTGTTCAGAGGCCATCCTAAAACACAGAAAGCTGACTGAAAAGTGCCACACTTTTCATAACTGCCACTTGAAATTTGTTTCACTAGGAAGATAAGGAGAACTTACAAATTATTAAAGTTATGCATAGTAATGCAATTTTCTCTTGAAGATTTATAGAGTCTAGATTCTCCTCTCAGTATAAAGCTTAAAGAAATAACATTGATCGTAAAAATAATTAAAAAACATCTAAAATTCTGATCCTAAGTTCAGAATTTTACTTTGCATTTGTCGGCACAAGTAGTACAATGAATTACTATGTCAAAGACAAGTTTTAAAGATACTAAACATCTATAACCTTAGGAGAAAATGTCACAAGCAAGACAAATCTGCCCAGAACGGATAGAAGTCAAAAAATCTGCATCAATTCTGGACAAAGAAATTAATAGATTAAGACAAAAGATACAAGCAGAACATGCTAGTCATGGAGATCGAGAAGAAATAATGAGGTAAGTGGTTGGTAGCTTTTTTACTTTATTATTCATATATATTATGAAGACATAAAAAATAAATGTTTATATATAAATCATAAATTTGGTTTGAGTATTGCTATGGCATACAGTTACAGCCAAGCTCATTTTCCGTATGTGTGTTATTAATAATAAATAATAATGGGGGGCACCTGGGTGGCCCAGTCAGTTAAGCGTCCAACTTACGATTTCAGTTCAGGTCATGATCTCATGGGTTATGGGATTGAGCCCCACTGGAGCTCTGCGCTCAGTGGGGAGTCAGCTTGGGGTTCTTTCTCTCCCTCTCCCTCTGCCCCTCCCCCACTCATAAACACACATTCTCTCTCTCTAAAATAAATAAATCTTTAAGAAAAATAATAAACTAATGTTTTTTCTTCTGAATCATAACAAAACTCTTTATGGAGTGATATTTTAACATAAATGCCATTTTTATACCTATAGGATTCATATGGAAAAAAATGTTTAGCTTCACAAGCAATTAAATGCAAATCAGAATGATTAGAAGCCATTTTCATATATGTCAGGATGAAAAAAAATGTCAGTGTCATGTCAGTGAGATTTCAGTGAAATGGCTATTTTTCTATTAGTGGTAAGAATGGAAGCTCTAGCATAGGCAAAGCACAGTTTCTCAAGCAAGACAACCTTGGTTTGAATTGAAGTTTGACCTCCAGTTATGGGACTTTTGCCAATGACCTAATCTCTCTGAACCGAATTTTCTCATCTGTAAGATAGGGATACCTATAGTTGTAAGGTGCTGATAAGGATTAAATGAGTTAGTCCATAATAAACAGTATGTAGGATACATAAAATGTTAGATGTGATAAAAGTTTTTCTGAAAAGCGTTAAGGCAGTTTATGTCAAACGCCTTCAAAAATTTCACTTTGGCCAAGAAATTTTGTTATTATAATCCAAAATGAGAAAAGCCATCTGTGCCCACGTATGTTTATTGTAGCATTACTTACAAAGCTGGGAAATTAGAAATTGTGTACAGCATAGGATGCTGGTTGAATTATGGTAGAAAATTACATCTGTTATACTTTATGAAGAGCTTTTCATAATACAAAGTTCAGGAACAGGAATGATCTCAATTCTGTTTTCAAAAACAGTGGAAAACAATGGTAAGAAACACAAAATAAGAGTAGTTTTTCTTTAAAATAGATAATACCCCACATGTTTTGTTTTGTTTATTAAAGTATAATCTCCACAAACCGTAAGAAACTATTAATCATAGGAAACAAACTGAGGGTTGCTGGAGGGGAGGTGGGTAGAGGCATGGGGTAACTGGGTGATGGGCATTAAGGAGGGCACGTGATGTGATGAGCACTTGGTGTTACGTAAGACTGATGAATCAATGAACTCTACCTCTGAAACTAATAATACACTATATGTTAATTGACTTTAAATAAAAGAAAAATTTGTTTAAAAAGTAAACAAACACACAAAAATAAAGTATAATCTCCAGTTTATTTTTTTCCAGAGACCAGTTTTTCTTCAGTCCTTAGGTAATTGGCTCCTTCCACCGGCCTTACTGGAGGTCAAGGGGCAGCGCCCATGGGCCCACATCGGGGTGGGGGTGTTGGGTCCTGTGGTACCTACCGAGAGCGGTGCCTGGCTGCCCTGCTGTGAATAGCATGGCTCGCACAGCCCTGTAGGCCCGCACACAGCCGTCAAAGACACTTGCTTTGGCAATGTCCCTGACCCGGCGGCCTCTACGCTGTCCCGAATGAATGAATAACCTACTTCTTAATGGCCTTGTCCCAGGTTGTGCAATGGGTGCAGCTGGTGCAGCGGAGGGGCTCTTTGTGGCACATCCAGGATTATTCCTTCTTTTCTTGGTCATCTTGGAAGTGAGGACCCGAGAGGGCCTTAACTCCCATGTTTTCAATTCACTGTAAAGGGGCACCCCATGAAAGGTGTCTGCTTCCTCTCCGGTCTCATCTCTACCACTTTTCTCTCTTTTTATCTAATTAAATTAGATAATTAGATAATTACCTTCATTGTTTATGTAAATGCAAGGTAATGTGAGCATGTTATTCTTATTCTTGCCAGATACAAGAGATAGCACAATAAGTAAGCTGTTGTACAGATTGCTTTCTTTGATTTAATGATATGTGGTAGAGATCTTTTTACATCAATATATACAGGCATTTTTTCATTGCTTTTTATAATTATATGGTATTGAATCATCTACTAATGGGTAGTCGAATTCTAATCTAATCCCTTGCTATTATAAATGGTGGTCACAGTAAATAGTTTTGTACATATGTCTTATTGTATAGTCGGGGTGTTTTAATAGGATTGACTCCATTTTGGAAGACTCCCTTCTAGAGACTGTGCTTGTTCGCACTCTGGAGGACAGTGTGTCCGAGGGCTTGTTCCCCTCAGCCTAAACAGTGTGTGATAACCTTAGTTTTTTTTTTTTTTTTTTTTTGCCAATGGGTAGATTTCCTTAAAAAAAGAAAAGAATATAGCTCAATGTAATTTTAGTTTCCATTTCACTTATACTGAGTCTGAACATCTTTTCATGCCTTAGACCATTCATTTATCTTTTTCTGTGAACTTTTTATGTACTTCTTCATTTTTCTGTATTTTTGGTGTGAAGAGAGTATTTTGTCTTTGTCCAAAGGGCTATGTAGCCATTTGAAATTTTGTCTTATAATTAATTGCGTCCTTAAGAATGGCCATGTGAAGTAACGTGTTTTATTTTTGCGTGTTCAAAACTGTTTGTCTGTAGCTTTTGAATTTGAAGGGATGGTTCAACCTGATAGTTCAACATTCTTTTTCTCTTGACCATCTGTTTTATGATGAGTGCTGTAACTTGTCCAGAATGTCAGATTCTGTGATCCTTTCCTTGGTGTACACTGTGTTTTTTTAATCTGTAGATTTATCTTAATTCTTAAAATTTCTTGTTTGTGTTTTACTTGTACATATTTGCTGTGCTGTTGTTTACTTGGTTTTGTGTAGGCCTTTGTTGCACACATGGAGTATGTCCTTTGTCTTTAGTTATTTTGTCTACTGTGTTACCTTTCTCCCCATGTTTTTGCTTTTCTCATTTCTGATCTCTCCATCAGGGTTTTCTGTGTTGTCTCTTTTCCCCTGTGCATCACCACCTCACTGTCTTCATGTCTCTGTTCTCTTCCGTCCGACCCCCCCCCGCCCCGCCCCGGTTCTGCAGGTTCCTGCTCGCCGCTGCCTCTTACCTGGTTATCACCTCCTCTTGTTTACCTCTCTGTTTTCTGAGTACTTTATTCTTTCAGTTTTTTATTTCTGTTTTGAGGCGTCTCTTTCTGGTAGCACTGTGTCATGTTCTGTTCTAATTCGTGGTTTTTCAATTACAGTTTCCATCAGGTTTGTAACCGCGTTGTTCTGACGAGTTCTCTTTGTCTGTAGGGGTGTCGTGCTGCTCTTTCCCAAGCTATTTCCACTAATATCTGTGTGTGGAGTCTACTTGTGCCTTTTGTGTTACTCATTTTTTACGTGGATTTTCCTGGACTGGGCATTTGAATAAGCTTGGGGTGGGGAGCTGTGGAGCCCTGGCCAAGGTTGCCTTTCAGACTCGGTCAAGAACCTTCTCTCCTCTGTTCTACCAGTGAGCTGTTGCCCTCTAACAGCACTTCTGCGGGACCTGGCCTTCTCTGCCTCTTTGACCTTGTCTTGTTCAGGCTGGGGTTGGCAGAGCCTAATGCTCACCCTGTGTTCCTCTGTTCTTGCACTGGCCTCTGTTACTAAGGGAAACATTTCTTGCCTTCCAGTGTGATCCCTTCACTTGTAGAAGGTGTATATTTGCTGGCATTTCTAAGATCTGCCCCCCGCTCCCCGGGCACTTTCCTCATGTACTTCCTCTGCCTTCTCCAGAGCCTGGACTTTTCTCCTGCCCAGCCCTGCGTACAGCTCTTCCCCTTTGGGGCAGCATGTGCTCATTCTGGGAGTATAATTTGCCTAGAGACAGGACACCTGCTATTTCTGGGCCCCTTGGCACTCCCTGCACTCTCCCGTCTTCCCCAAAAAATGTATTTGAGATTTTACTTTTCTTTATGTTTCTTTGAATGACACTTACTAACTTAATATTTTCTTCATAAAACAGGCAATATCAAGAAGCAAGAGAAACCTATCTTGATCTGGATAATAAAGTAAGGACTTTAAAAAGGTTTATTAAATTGCTGGAAGAAATAATGACTCATAGATACAAAACATATCAACAATTTAGAAGGTAAGTGCATTTAAAAATATTACCACATATCTCACATTTTCATATTTTGTTTTCACATTATCCCTTATAAATAAGAAAATTAAATTGAAAGAACTTCACATGATTCAGTTAAAGAAGAAACTTCTTTCCTTAATTGGGCAGTATTTAGGGTCCTGTCATTTAATCAGAGAATTCTGGATTGGAAGGGACGTTTAAAGCAAGCTGATCGAGTTTTTCTACTCCATAAGATACCCTTTACTAGGTAACTCAGAGATGGCTATTCAATCTCTGCTTACATAGGTCCTTTGAATGGGAGCTCACTGGCTTTGAAACAGCCTGTTGCACTTTTGGACATTGCATGTTTTTAAGGGATACAAGTTTTTGACAGGACCTGTTGAGGTAGTATCTCAGTTTATGATCTAATGGAATGGTGTGGCTCCGTGGATGTAGACTCTGATTTGTTTACTGCTGTGTCTCCAGTATCTACCACTGTGCCTGAAATGTAGTAGAAAATTGATATATTTTGGTTGAAAGAATGAACACAAGATCAGAGAAACTGGATATTATATGTACCCAGAAATATTCATATTCTCAGGGATAGATCGACCCCAGCGAAAATCAGAAACAACAGAAATAAACCAGAGTTGGTTTATTTAGTTATTATTTAGTTGGTTATAAACAAACTATCAGTTGATAGGTAGGGATGGCCCTTGACCTACCTGGAGTCAAAGCTGTCCTAGTCTTTGCACTTAACCCCTGTTTTCCCCAGTGGCATTCCCTCAATGACCTGCTTTTTACCTGTATTCATACCCAAAACTCTATAATCCTAAGACTAGAGAATTAAAAAAATATATATATCTAGTATGTATGAGGAAATTCAGTTAATTCCATAAAGAGAAGTAGGCTTTGCATGTTTGGTCATATTCCTTAACTAAACTGTAGGTTAGTTTTTGAAATGTGTGCTTCAGTTTTGTAAGCATGTTAATAGGACTTCACTTATATGGGATTTATTTTTAACTCTTTGAGGCTACTTGTAAGTTTCATCAAATGGGACCTGAGCAGTTGGTCCAGGATCATCAATGCCCTTCGGGGTACTCCACTGATACCTTGTGAGTTAGAAGGCTTCTGCCTGTGGGAACTGGGACTATTCCTGGCTCCAGGTGACCTGCGGGGATTGCTTCTGCGGCTTTGGGATGTTTGTTGCTGCAGCTTCACACGTGCAGAGAGAGTTCTCAGTTTGAGACTTGTTGCGCCCTCTGTCTGTGCTCTGGAGTTCCTTGTGTGCTACACTCTAGGCTTTGAGACCTGGAGCAGCTCGGCCTCCCCAGACGCCCAGCTCTGTCTTCTCTAACAGGGAGACCTTCAGGCTGGGTTTCCACTCCCCTCTACTCTTTCTGTAAATAGTGATGTGGGACATCTATAAGGCTCAATTCATTTGTTTCCCATATTTTAGAGATCGTTTTGACTGGAATTGCCTGTACTGTCCGATGTCCAGTCTGAAAACGTGTTTCATTTATTCCATGCAGTGTTTTGGATGTGTCAGGCTAAGACTATATCCAGTGCCGGGGTGCCTGGGTGGCTCAGGCGTTAAGCGTCTGCCTTCAGCTCAGGTTATGATCCCAGGGTCCTAGGATCGAACCCCTCATCGGGCTCCCTGCTCCACGGGAAGCCTACTTCTCCCTCTCCCACTCCCCCTGCTTGTGTTCTCTCTCTCACTGTGTCTCTCTCTGTCAAATAAATAAATAAAATCTTAAAAAAAAAAAAAGACTATATCCAGTGCCTATTTCTGCATCTTTTTCAGAAGCAGTAGGGTTTGTTTTTATATTGTTACCAGGAAATTTATATTCAAAATATTTTCTGTAAAGGTACTCATCTTACAGTTTATTACCTGGATATGTTTCTTCGCCACTGACATGTTTTATCTTCTTTACCCAGTCTTAGGAGTAGAATAAGAATGATCAAATTTTTTAAATTGTTTATCTCTTTACACTGGAGAACCTTGCCACTTTATTAGGACAGTTTCTCTTAGACATCCCATGTATGGAAGCAATTGATACTTATCAATAGTGAAAGAAAGAAAAGTTAACAGAAAATTCTGAAAACCAGCTAGCTGTGTGGTTGCTGTGTCACAAAAGAAAGTTTAAGCTCTCAGTGTTTCCTGAGGCAGAGATTTAACGTAGTTTAGCAAGGGAATTAGGAGGGATAATAGTAAATGATAGTTACTCTGAAGAAATGAACCATAGGCCCATTAAGGAACAAAGATGTTAAGAAAATACTAAGTCTTCTCTCATCTAGATCTTATTTTCCAAATACCATTCCCCCTTGGAGAAATGGCTGGATTCCAGAGCTGGGCGGAGAAGGTACAGCTGGGCCTCTTGCTATGCCAGGAAGTAAGGAAGTGCTCAGAAGAACCCGGGAGTCATGCATGATAAAAGGACGTAAGAGGCAGCCTGAAGAGGCTCCCACGGGCCAAACCTGGGCCTGTGTGAGGCAGGAATGGATAGTAACCCAGTGAATAAAATAAGAATCTGTGACTCCATCCTGATCAATAGAAAAGTGAATAAATAAATAAATGAGGAAGAAGGGAAAGGTCCTCCTTACAGTGGAATGCCATGTGATAGATGGAGTTTGCATTGTGCCAGGCTGTGGGTAAGGTATTATAGGTATAGAACGATTAAGAGATTGCCCTCACCCTTAATGTCTCCATAAATTGAGAGGAGATATGCAAATGAATAGGCCATTTATTTATTATCTTAACACTACTAGAGCTTAATCTCAAGGACAAGATTTATGTCTTCTGTATTAGGGTGATGCCTCGTATAAATTGCTTGAATTGATTGATATATTCATGAACACGGCCAGACGTGGCCAGATATATGGACGGGCTGTAATGTAATAGAATATATTAAATGTGGGATAGCATCATTTTTCATTCTATTATGTTTGTTTATTGTAGAAGGAAATGAGGTGGTAAAAATGTGGGGACACAAAATATAAAGACGGGGGGAAAAAATCTTAAAATCCTACCTATTAAATGGGCAGCCCGTGTTGACATTTTGGCATATTTCTCTCTGGTCTTACATGCAGGTTTAAAGATCATGCTGAAATATACAGTTTTTATATTTTTATATTCTTTTTAATGTGCCCTATTTCTTTATTCCAAGGTGTTTGACTTTACGATGCAAATTGTACTTTGACAACCTATTGTCTCAGAGGGCTTATTGTGGAAAGATGAATTTTGACCACAAGAATGAAACTCTGAGCATATCAGTAAGTGTCTTAACTCTTCGTATGCTAATTATTAGGAGAATTAGCTGCTGCATTTCTTTTGATAATACATTGATAAGCTTTAATCTGTTGTCTTTGAAAAACAAAAGAACTTACTTTTAAGTTAAGGCTAGTGTTTGCCCGAGTGTTGAAAATTAAATCGATCTCATTGGCTAACGCTGTCCTTGTACCCCCCCCACAACCACCAAGAAGATGACTAGGAATTTTCAGTGACAAATGTTTACCCTCCTTCCACTCCACAGCTTTCTTTTTAAAATTCGTCTAGCATTTTAATTTATGTGGGATATTAGAGAAAGTCCACAGACTCTGGAAGTCACTTATAGGAAACCAAGAAAGGATTTCTCAGAAGAATGTTCTATCCCTTGTAATTGTCTTTGCATGTATTTCTGAAGGTATCTGTAGATCCAGCGTCTTTTGAAAAAACAAAGCCACCATATTCAACTTTGTAGAGTCTGTGTTTGTGGATTCTTTCATGGTCGTATGCTTTGAAAGAGGGAGTAAGGGAGATAGCATTAAAAATTATGTGTTCAGGGGCGCCTGGGTGGCTCAGTCGTTAAGCATCTGCCTTCGGCTCAGGTCATGATCCCAGGGTCCTGGGATCGAGTCCCACATCAGGCTGCCTGCTCCGCGGGAAGCCTGCTCTCCCTCTCCCACTCCCCCTGCTTGTGTTGCTGCTATCGCTATCCCTGTCTCTGTCAAATAAATAAATAAAATCTTTAAAAAAAAAATTATGTGTTCAGGTGGTCAAGAGCAACTGCCCACTCTAAATAATTGGGGCAAAATTTTTATTATTTTTTTTTATTTTTTTTAAATTTTATTTATTTATTTGACAAGAGAGAGACCCACAGCAAGAGAGGGAACACAAGCAGCGAGAGTGGGAGAGGGAGAAGCAGGCTTCCCACTGAGCAGGGAGCCCGACGTGGGGCTCGATCCCAGGACCCTGGGATCATGACCTGAGCCGAGGGCAGACGCTTAACGACTGAGCCACCCAGGCACCTCTGGGGCAAAACTTTTAAGTAATTGCTTACTGCTCTTAGTTGTCCTAAGTTTTATACTTCATTTTAATACTTAGAATAAATGATAATTTACAGTACATATACACAAGACTCATCTAAATTTTTTAAGGAATAATAAAGAATGACGATGCATTTAAAAATGGTCAGAATGCTTAAAGAGGAACTTTATAAAGTATCTAAGTGGTGACTAAGTACCTGAAAAAGTGCTCAGTATCATTATTCATCAGAAAAATATGAACTTGAGGCGCCTGGGTAGCTCAGTCAGTTAAGCGTCTGACTCTTGATTTCAGCTCAGGTCATGATCTCAGGGTTGTGAGATCGAGCCCCATGTCCAGCTCCAAGCTCTGCATGGAGTCTGCTTAGGATTCTCTCTCTTTCCCTCAGCCTCTCCCCTCTCTCCCTCTCTTAAAAAAAAAAAGAAAGAAAGAAAAAAGACAAATACGAACATATACCATAATAGATGACTATCATACTGCTACCAGTGTGACCAAAACGAGCAACACCAATAACGTCTCGTGTTGGTGAGGGTGTGGAACTAATTTGGAAACCTGTCTGGCAGTGTTCATGAAAGCAATCCCACTCTTAAAAACTCTTCAAAAAACTGATAAAAATTCACCTGATTAAATGGTGATGATTAAAGTCAGAATAGTTGTTACCCTTTGGGTTTTGTAGTGCCTGGGAGAGAACACGGAATCTGCTGGGACACTAGGAATGTTCTGTGTCTTGATCTGAGTAATTACCCAGGTAATTGAGCTGAACACTTAAGCTTTATCTTCCTTACTGTATATGAATTATACTCTAATGAAAATGAAAAAAAGAAGAAAATATTAGGAGGGTTTGGATAATTTATCCCCAGAGCTAACTGTACAGGACAACCGAAGCTAGCCCTTCTGATATTATCACCCCTGTTATTCAAAAAGAGTATTACTGTTTTAAGGATCCTTTAGTTCTCTAGTCTTTGTTTTACAAATAAATAAACTGAGACCGAAGTCCCATGATAAGTTAGTAATAAAGGTAAAATTTAGATCTCCACAATTAATCTAGGGCTTCATTTATTAGATTGATACAAAATGCAATTTTGGAGTAAAGGACCGCATCCTGTTACTTAGTTCTTGCTTTTATGTGGAGAAGTTTGGTTGGTTGGCTTGGTTTGGCTTTTTACTACTTAGTTGCTTTTTCATTTGGATTCTCACAGATTCAGACTTGTGGATGATAAAAATTTCAGTGTATGTTTAAATTCAGAATTTTTTATAACCCTTTTCTAAATGAATGCTACTTGAGAGGCACATAATTTTCAAACAGTGGGTGTGAAAAATAAGTGAAGTTATGTGTCTGCTAAAACACATGTGGTAAAACTTTATGGTAGACAAGCTGATGGTGCCCCATTTTTCCACCTTATGGGTATATATGTATGTCTGAAATTCTGTCCAAATGAAATAGAATTCCTTCTAATGTTATTTTATACTGTCTCCCCAGGATATTGTGTGAAAGAGTTTGTTATTAATTTTATCAATTTCTTTTTTATTGTCCCTCTGAGCCGTTATTAAGAGGAATTTTTGAAAGAGATTTTACATGTTCCAGGTTGTTGCTGCTGTTCATCCTGGACCAGCGTGAGCCTCTTGAAGTTGGTCCTGTTGTCTTTTTGACATTCAGTAATTACCTTTAAAGCAGCTTAACCACTAGATGTCACTATAATTCAAGTAATAAAGGATTGTCTTAGTGCTTAGCAATGCTTGAAAAAAGAAAAAGAAAGCAATCTCATTCACAGTAGCATCGAAAGTAATAAAGTACTTAGGAATAAATTTAACCAAGGAGGTGAAGGATCAGTACACTGAAGACTATAAGACACTGATGAAGGAAATTGAAGAAGACACAGATAAATGGGAAGATATCCCACATTCATGGATCAGAATTAATATTGTTAAATAGGTGTCATTTCCATATCACTAAATCACTAAATGATTTTATTCTTTTTTTTTTTTTTACTGTAAACGCATTCTTTTCTAATGCTAGCCAACCTTTTTGTAAAGAATTTAGTCTGACTTTTGCTCCACTTTGTTTTTTAACTCACTCAAGGTTCAGCCTGGAGAGGGAAACAGAGCTGCTTTCAATGACATGAGAGCCTTATCCGGAGGAGAACGTTCTTTTTCCACAGTTTGCTTCATTCTTTCTCTATGGTCCATTGCTGAGTCTCCTTTCAGATGCCTGGATGAGTTTGATGTCTACATGGTAGTGTTAAATTTTGAATTCTCAAATTTTTGCTGTTGTTGGAAATGTGTATTTTGAAAGGAAGCAATTCTTTCTTTAGTTTTACCCCCAAGAGAAGGGATCCTGCCCTGACACTTTAGTCCATGAGAGGTGGTAGGGAAGAACTGAGAATTCTAGTGCTCTCCCTGCTACCCTGGAGACCCCATCCTGGGCTTCCACCTCTTCCCTAGCCTATCTCTACCTTCCATTTTCACAGCGGTAAGCATTTCCTTACCCTTGCTTGGATCAGAAGAGCAGCAGATACCACACAAGGGGCAGGAACATTTGACTTGGAAGTTACAAACCTAGGATTGAGACCTAACCTCTGCCACTACTTCCATAGAGAACTTTGGGCCTCGGTTTCTTCATGCATAAAATAACCTCATTAATCTTTCCTGCCTCCTAGGGTTATGGTGAGACGATCCAGTCTTACATGTAAACGCACTTACGATGGTGGAGACAGAGTGAGCCTTCACCAGCCAGCCGTTAACCATGCTATGTACTTCTTAATGCCTTACACCTTCTTAAACCCACTGTAATCTGGGTTTGGACTATAATACTCTAGTAAAACTTGTTTAGCAAAGATCATCAATGAACTTTTAGTATTATTTTAATTCTTTGAAGTATTTGGTATCAGAGACCTATCCTCCGTCTCCTATAATGTGTCTTCTTGCCAGTTTCTGCTCTCCTCTTTTCTGGTTCTAGTGTGTTCCAAGCTGCCTCCCCTCATGCCGTTGCCCTTAAATGTGTGAGGTCCTCTTTGTTTTTTATACTGTTGTTGATTTTCCTGGATACCATACACTACGTACACCTACACACTAAACACACACACCACATACACACATACACACACGGAGTCCCCAACACTACCACCTACATCTGGATACCAGCAAGTCTGAGTGTCTCCTCCTGACGCCTCTCTTGCCCCCCAGACGCATATGCCCAACCACTGTTAGACGTCATCAGGCATAGCCATGCCTCAGACTCAGCAAGTCTTCCACTCAGAGCCTCTTCCTTTTCCTGAATCCGCTACTTTGATTGCTGGCAAATTGCTGTTACCTACCCTGTGACCTCGCACTGCCAGACCTTTGATGTATCTGTGATCCTTCCTTCCTTTTTACTTGCCCATCACGTCTGACCTTCCGAGTCTCTGTTCCTTCCTGTTAGCTTGTCTCTGTCTCCTCACCCCTGCCTGTTGTAACCGCCTCCTGTCCAGACTCCCAGACTTTAGGCTTCCTTATTCCTTAGTCCCTCCCTCACTGTTTTGCCAGGTTTATATTTCTAAAATGAATCTGATCATGGGCACTTACTTGTTTAGAACTCTGAGGTGGTGAATTATCTTATCTGGGATGAATGTTTAATTCTTTGGGTAACTGAGACCCTTCGTGATGTAGCATCTCCCCACTTCTGTGGCTACCCCTTATAGGCTACTTGTGATTTTCCAAGCACTGTGCCTCTGCCTGTTGTGCCCTTCTTTGTGTATGTCAGAATCCTACTCATCTTTCCAGACCTGGTTCGATGTGACCTTTATAGAGCCTTTGTGACCACCAGGCAGGATTTAGGAGCCTCTCAGAGCTCCCTTGGCACCACCCTACACCAACTCATACTATTATTTTTATATTTTATAATATAAAATATATTATGTAATTTTATATTTATACATTTTACTATTACATATTTTATACATTTTCATTCTGAAGTTACCAACTATGTCTTGATATTTTTACCTACCTGATGCCTACCTAGCCCATAATAAGTACTACAAAGTGCTCGTTCATGCAGTTTATATCTGTGAGTCCTATATAATCCTCAGTGTCATTTTTCCCCTTGATACCATTGCTGCAGTTGGTTAGAAATTCTCTGAGAATTGGCTTCAGAGCTAATTCACAAATCACAGGAGAGGATTGTTCTTACCAGGCACTCATTTTGTTTGAAATGCCATTTTGCAGTCTTATCACCCATCTTATTTGTCAGATTTAATTCTGAATAACTTCTTTCTCTTTCAGAAACTTAGAGTTCTTAATCAGAATGGCATTCTGCCCCATTGGAATTGTTCAGAAAAATGTGCCCAAGTTCTGAAAACCAATCAGAAACAAATATATTTTGGTGGTTTGGCAGCTTTGTTATGAAATGATAGGCCTCTCCAGGGCAGTGTTTTGAAAGGACAGCATCTGCTTGTGCAAGCTCTCGTTATTTTTGTTAACTTTAAGGTAGATTGCTTTACAGATATGCCAGAGGGAAGAATTTATATAATACAAGCCATTGAGCAATATAACCAGGATGTTGGTCTGCCTCCAAAACAGTGTTTTTAGCCACCATGCTGTACCACCACATGAGGTTTCAAGTAGACCTTTAACAATGTATGCCTATAAACGCATTTGGTTATGTTTTCCACTTTTCAGTTTGCAAGGTACTTGGATTTTTTTCTTTCTCTGTTATTTGAACTCAGAAAATGTAAGCCCACAGTTTAATTTCGTTTCAAAACCTGTTATAATGAAGCATTGCTTTTCTATATACTGATACGCTATTTAACTTCTTTTAAAGATTGAATCGAGGAACTGGTTTATAAATTTAAATTGGTTCAGGGCTCCTGGGTGGCTCAGTCAGTTAAGCGTCTGCCTTCGGCTCAGGTCATGATCCTGGAGTCCTGGGATCGAGCCCTGAGTCAGGCTCCCTGCTCAGCGGGGAGTCTGTTTCTCCCTGTCCCTCTGCCTGCCTCTCCCCCTGCTCTCTCTCTCTCTCTCTGTCAAATAAATAAATGAAATCTTAAAAAAAAAAAAGAATGTAAATAAATAAATTGGTTCGCACTGTACGCATTGTAGAGTGATAGGGTAGGGGCAGAGGTTTTAAAACACCTTGATCACTGAGGGAAATTTTGAGAGAATTAATACTTTATAGCTGTCACTTTTGATATTGTTCTCCTGAGGGATTAACTATTATTACTGTCCAAATTAGATTCATTCTCTAACATTTAGTTGTGTCTTTGGAATATTTGCAGATTAATTGCTAAGTATATTTGAGGGAGGGAGCAATACTTACAAATATTCTGACTGTAGAAATTACCTGGAAGATACATATTTTCAGTTATTTTCCTCTAATAGTTTTGGATATTATCTTTCCCTGTGTGAATAGTTAGGCATCACAGATAAGGTAGTAGGTGAACCCTGGATAAAAATGCGGGGGCTTGTAACAGCCAGCAGAATGCTGCTTTTGCAGGAATATGACTGATGCAATAGTGATCCTCACTTTGTTCTTCAGGACATGGTTAACCGGAGGATTGCAATGGACATGATACTCAAGATGGCAGATTCCCAGCGTTTCAGACAGTTTATCTTGCTTACCCCTCAAAGCATGAGGTAACTTTTAAAAATTCTTCTGTGAATATATACATGAAATATATAAAGGGAAATAAATCTCTTATAATCTTAATTTTTTAAATGCAAATACATAAATCACCAATAAAAAAATCAGTTCCAATGTCAGGAGATCTAAGATAATTTTTCCTTTTAAGATATTTAAAATTTTGTTTGTGTTGTCTCCCTTCCATAACAGAAGCAAGCTGATGTGAATTTGATTATTGACTTGTTACTATTTCTGTTTTGACTCTGTTTCTTCGTGGTTATCATGACCAACTAGTAAAGTAATTTTGGTAATTCTGTTTAGACTAAAGACACAATTCATGATTTCCCTGGTCTTGGCTCTTCTCCTGGTGACTTACTGCTTCTAATCTTTCTAAATGAAGAGCTCTGTTCTGCAGTCAGTCAGCAGGTTTTGAGTACTTACAAGGTGTCAGGCATTGTGTCATTTAGTGTTGATATTCTGCCTCTAAAGTGGTCACTTGATCCTCTGGGGATTGAAGTTTGTGATTGGGAATATTCAGGTAACTGCTTCTTGGCTAGACAAGAATAAGAATTAGAAATAGTTGGTATATAAGTCTCCTCATTTTCTTTTTCTTCTAAACTGAAAGCCTACCACATTTAGCAGGATGTTAATTTTTAAAAATGAAAACAAATGATTTCTTTATCGCAAATTATATTTCTCCTAGAACTCCAGATAGTCAGCATATCCCACATTAGCAGATGCAGTAGATTGGTGTTTTCATGAGGGAGTACTAGAATTTTTTTTAATGTGAAAAAATTTTCCTAGTAATCTGAGTAATTAATTTTGCTTCCTCTAGTTCACTTCCATCAAGTAAACTGATTAGAATCCTTCGAATGTCTGACCCTGAAAGAGGACAAACTACATTGCCTTTCCGACCTGTGGGTCAAGAGGAAGAAGAAGACCGAAGTTGATCTGTAACTTCCTATGGCCTACGCCGTATCCTCATGTTGAAGGATTTGTAAAGGGAAACAGATTCAGGAGTATGTAATGAAATAAAATGAAACTGAAGATAATCTAAAAATAAAAGAAAATTCCTTTATATTTCTGGCCCCAATAAAATATGTAAATAAGTCTAGAAAGCCTACTACAACCAGCAATTTAAGATTTCTGTTACTTTACTTTGAGGAAATTAATTTCATAGTATTGGTTTTAAATCTTTTTTTAAGTTCGTTTTTTTTAACCATCTACTTTTATAGATTGTTTTTCAGAAGTAAAATTTTGTATATATGTACATGTACATATCTGTTTAGTTTGGGTTCATTTCTATGGTATTTTGTAAGAATTAAAATAAAAGTTTGAGCACCTGATGATATTTAGTTCTGTTTTCCAGAGTATCACATTCTCATCGCAGGGGTTGGGGTACACAGGTGGTCTGTGGATGGGGACCAGTTTGCAGTGGAGTTATTGTCTCTTTTGCTTAATTATGAGGGACCTGCACAGGACTATAAAACACTGCTCAGAATTCCTGCACAGGTCATTTTTTATCATTAAAGATACAACTATAGATTTGGGCTGTACTTTTAATTATTATATTTCATCCAAATTTAGGATGCTCTCTGTACGGCACTTTGCAGGAGCGCCAGAGCACTACCAGCTCTGACCCAGTGCCTTTCTCAGTCCTTTAGCTGTCGTCCAGCCAACTCAGCGTCTAACCCGTGTCACCACAGGATCATGACACGGCACCACACCCTGACCTGCAGTGGCGTGCTTGTCTGCTTCAAACCCCTCTGTTCATGGGCCAGCACTGTTGGCTCAGCTCCAGCTCAGCTCGGGCTCAGCTGAGAGGACCCAGGCTGCAGAGAAGGGCTGGGAAAACTGGGGCTCCCCCTGGAGCAGGAAAGCAGCGCAGAGCCAGAGGCCAGCCTGTTGATGGTGAGCTGACATCTGTGCCATTAAAGACACGTCCTGATTTTAGAGTTGTTTAAGAGTGTGCTTCATAGAATGATAAAATATAGCATATTGTAAGAAGTGGTAGTTATTGACTTTTTTTTTTTTTTTTTGAAGAAGGCATGAATAAGACTCCTGCCTATATTCTCTTTGATACTAGGGTAAGTGCTAAGTTTTTAAGACAAACATGGATACCCAAGAAGCATTCCCTGTATTGCTAGCAATAAATATTTATGTAATTGAAAAGGAAGTATTTTAAGAAAAAAAGCATTATTTTAAAAGCAGCAACACTTCTATTGATACTGCGAAAAACTGGATTTTGTTTTTTATTTTAGTAGAGGGGAGGGAGTCTGATTAACCTTAAAATGAGATCAGTTGGCAAATGAGAAGTCCAAAATCTGGACTTCTAAAAATAAAACTTTAAATGTTTGTATTGAGTGACTTCACTACATCATACAGAGTGTTCCCCGGCCCCTGGTTTATCGTCAGGACTGAACTGAGTAATGAGATCCCAGGAAACAAGGGGCACATGCTCCCTTGGACTCTTCAATCCTATCCTCTCAAATCCATGGGCTGGACATGATTAAGATCATTCTCAAAATGACAAAGGTGATGAGTTGTAGTAAACCAAGATATAAATAATAAAGTTACTCAAGCTGATAATCAAGATTCAGGCACTGCCTTCTTCTTTCTTAAGTATTTTCACTTCTCCGACCCATCCTCAAGGGCTGCTTCCCTCCCAACCCTTCACCTTGACATATCTTTAAGATGTCCAGAGACCAAAATGCTTCAGTTCTGAGTAAATAACTGTTGTCTGGAACACGAGCTGGATCAGAAGTGTTGCCAGCCATGATGGAGACCAAGTGATCCAGATTCCTGTGAATTAGTCCAGGTTATCATGTCCCAAGTCAGTGACATTCTGGTTAGATTTAGGACTTTTTTATACATCAACATGGATGCCTATACTTTGACCAACTCAGATTTTCCAGAGAATTGGTTTGAAACTTAGAGTTCTAAAAGTTCAAACAGTAACTGATATCTTACGACTTGAACTAAGTGACTGTGGACTGGAAGATACATCAAAATATTATTTAATAGGAATAGCTTTTGTCTTTTAAAGAGTGGTAAAGTAATGTGGATATAAATTAGCTATTTCTTTGCGTCAGCAAATGAAATTTTCTTAATTATTTATAATATTGATACCTAACCTCTTGAATTTTGGCTGGGGCATCTGGATAGATTCCATAGAAACTAATGTGGCCTGAGAATACTCACTGATCAGCAAGCTTAAGAGGACTGTTGCTGCCTGATTTTCTCAAGTATAAGAATATAGAGATTCATTCAAAAATGATGAAGTTCCTGCCATGTGCGTGCTTGCAACAATTTAAAGCACAGGGAATACTACTGTGAGTAATACCAAATCTGCCCTTGGGGAGCTAAAATTCTAGTTCAGGGTAACATCCACTGAATATGATTCCAGAGAACAGTAATTGCTATGTGTAATAAATTTAGCAGGGTCAGGAGTTAAGTGGAGGGGGTGGTGTCTCAGAAGCGGTGTTGAAGGAAGACTTTGCAGAAGGTAATATCTAAGCGGAGCTGAAATGAGCGAGAGAACGAGCTATGGGAAGACCTGGAGCAAGCGTTCCAAGCAGAGACCATGAGTGCAAAGGCCGTAGGTGAGAACGGACTTCATGGCCTGGAATCATGAGGCCCATGTTGGCAGAGCTTACTTGGTGAACAAAGGGGATGAGGTGCAGAGGTAGGCGGAAGGAAGCATGATCATTCAACATCTGATAAGTTTTCCAACCTGGTCTAGTCAACATATTCAAATAATCGCTCTGGCTGCTGTGGGAATAGGTTAGGATTAGAGTATGGTGAATGAAAGCAAGCTTTGGCCGTGGTCCAGGTAAGAGGTCATGGTGACTTGGGCCAAAGTCAGGAGGTAGAGGGGGTAGAGTGTTCAAGTGGGAAATGAGGCAGTGGGATTTGCTGGTCATACTCTGGAGTTGTGAGGGAGGAATCAAGGATAATTGGCCTGGGGCCTGAAAACTGTAAGAATGAACGTGCCATTTACAGAGAAGATGCAGAGGTGGAGGCAAGCGTACTGGTACTTGATGAGTAACGTCACGCTGGTGAGTGTAAGAATGGAAAACAATAAAGTGACTTGAAGAGTCTGGAAATTATATTTCACCTGCAAGATGCTGGGGAAAATCTGAATTGTGTGCCCAAAATGTTGGAGAAACTTAATTGCTTACAAGAAAGGACCCCAGGGAACCTTATGTTATTTTATTTAGAGCTCTAACTGACTACCAGTTTCTTGCTATTCCCCTACACATCCTTTGCCTTTAGGCTCTCTGAAGACATCTGTTTAAGATGTGTTTTACTTCTTGACATGAGTTCCAACCATGTGGAGGAAATCAGCATCTGGCCTCTTTAAGAAAGAAGTTCATATTATTCATCCAGAGACTGATCCTGAATGAGTGAATTACAGGAAATATGAAGTCTTCAAACAATAGGATTCCCTTGTAAAAAGCAAGACTTGGAATCTAATTCCCTTGCATATGGATGGGTCTGTGACTGTCTTGTCATCAATAAAATGCTATGGAAGTGATATTTCCTGACTTGTGAGGTCAGGTCAGAAAAATCTATGATACCTCCAACATCTTTGCAGGACTACTTGTGCCGGAGGCTGAACCACCATGAAAGTCGTGAATGCTGGGGCACCTGGGTGGCTCAGTCAGTTGGGTGTCCCAGGGTCTGGGATTACGAGCCCCGTGTTGGGCTCTCTGCTCAATGGGGAGCCTGCTTCTCCCTCTCCCTCTGCCTGCTGCTCCCCGTTTGTGCTCTCTCTCTCTCTAATAAAGAAATAAATAAATCTTTAAAAAAAAAATGCATGCTGAGGCCACCGTCCTGTGAAGAAGCACACACTGGCCCAGTGGGAGGAGCCCTGAGACCACAGGAAGAGAGTTGCCCACCAGACCCCAGCTGCTCCAGGCCCCGGGTCAGCTCCAGCTACCATAACACTGCAACTACAGGAGAGACCCCGAGCCAGAATCAGCCACACAAACCTCTCACCAGCTCCTGACCCACAGAAACCGTGGAAATAACAAAAGGATTGTTTCTATTTTTAGCCACTAAGTTTTGGGGAGGAGTTAGCGTGGAGCACTAGGACCTGAACCACTCCCATTATGACCCACCCCTAGAAACTATTCTGATGCGATATTTCCTTTAGTTTTACATGACTTTGGTGTTCTTATTGTGAGAATGAGTTTTTCATTTATATATATTATACCATGCATAAGATTTTGTTTCTATTTTCCCCATCTGGCATTTAAAAGAGTTGGGTCCGGGGCACCTGGGTGGCTCAGTCGTTAAGCGTCTGACTTCGGCTCAGGTCAGGATCCTGGGGTCCCGGGATCGAGCCCCACGTGGGGCTCCCTGCTCAGCGGGAAGCCTGCTTCTCTCTCTCCCACTCCCCCTGCTTGTGTTCCCTCTCTCGCTGTCTCTCTCTGTCAAATAAATAAATAAAAATAATAATAATAAAATAAAAGAGTTATGTCTGGGGCGCCTGGGTGGCTCAGTTGGTTAAGCGACTGCCTTTGGCTCAGGTCATGATCTCAGGGTCCTGGGATCAAGCCCCTCATCCGGCTCCCTGCTCAGTGGGAAGCCTGCTTCTCCCTCCCTCTGGCCCTCCCCGCTCTCGTGCACTCTCTCCCTCTCCTTCTCTCTCTCAAATAAATAAATAAAATCTTTAAAAAAAAAAGTTGTGTCCACGTTGCTGTGTGTGCATCAGTCTCATGCCTCCAGCCAGTGTGTAGTATGCGTAAGATGCACTGACCACATTTTACTTACCTGTTCCTCTCGTCATGAACCACCAGATTGCCTGCAGTTCCCACAAACGCTGTCACAGACATCTTGGGACACATCCCCTCAGGGCCCCCTGTGAGAGCTTCTTGGGGCAGGCGGTATACCCGGAAGTGGGAGTGCTGCCTCCGAGGGCACATGCACACTTACTCTAGCCAAGGGCCACTGGACCGCTCTCCAGCATACCCACAGTACCAGTCCCACACTACCAGTGCCATGCTCACTTTTTGGCCCAATCTTTGTATTTTATTTATGAAAAGAACTAGTCAGGGGCGCCTGGGTGGCTCAGTCGGTTAAGCATTCAACTCTTGGTTTCAGCTCAGATTGGGATCTCCTGGGTTGTGGGAAATAGCCCTGCTCAGGCTCCGTGCTCAGCGGGGAGTCTGCTTGAAGATTCTCTCCCCCTCTGCCCCTCCCCCCACCCGTGGGCATTCTCTCTCTCTCTCTCTCTGAAATAAAATCAATCTTTAAAAAAAAAAAAAAACTAGTCAGTCTGCTGGAGGGGTTCCCTCCCCCCATAATTGCCCTGAATATCCTTGTGGCTCACTTCCTTCATTCAGGTCTTACTTCAAATGTCATCTAATCAGACTGCTACACCCCATTACTTGTGCTACCATCCCCATCCTTCTTAACTTGTGGTTCTTTTCTTCATTGTTCTTACAGGTGATCATCTGTGTGTGTGTGTGGTGTTTGGTTATTGTCTGTCTCCCCCCCAAAAAGGATGGTATTGAGTGCACAACAGGTGACCAGTGAAGATCTGCTATGAATGCAGTGTCAGAGTCTGATTTAACTGAATACCATTCTAAGAAGCCTCCCTAGTTCCTCACCCCCACCCCCACCCCTGTCCCCCTCACTTAAGGGCAGAGAATATCGGGAGGCCTTGAAGCTCTCCCATCTCTCCCTGCCCCCACATTGGACTCACCAAGCACAGGGACGAAGGACATTCTAGTACCACTTGGGATGGTTCTATCAGTGATTCAGGTACCGTCGGTGTCCTGAGTGTTTGTGGTAAGGTGTGCTTGCTCACAGCTTCTTGTTGCATGGATGCATGGAATCATTAGGCCCTGGTCTCTGGTCTTAGTTAATGATCCTAAGACAGACAAAGGGAGAGTATTTAGGAAACAAAAAAAAAGGCACTCAATAAAAAGTGAATAATATAGCACTGTCTTGTCTGATACTATAATTATTCACTACATGTGGCAAATTAAATTAATTATCATTTATTATTTTTGGGGGATGGGGGGAGGGCAGAGGGGGAGGGAGAGAGAGCATCTTGAGCAGACTCCCTGGTAAGTGCAGAGCCCAATGCGGGGCTCGTTCTCATGACCCTGAGATCATGACCTGAGCCGAAATCTAGAGTTGGATGCTTAATTGACTGAGCCACCCAGGAACCCTAAATTTAAATTAGTTAAAATGAAAAACTTGGTTCCTCAGTCACGCTAGCCATATTGAAGTGCTCAATAGTTACATGTAGCTAGTGCAGACATGTACCTTTCCATCATCATAGAAAGTTCTGTTGCACAGTGCTGTAGAAGAAAACTGAACTTCTCTAGATACGTTCTGAAAATACCAACCTGTCTTGAGAGCTCTTGAGGGAATTCTGCCTGCCTTCCTCAGGCTTCAAAGGGTCAGAATTTTGTCCCATCATTAAAAATAACAACTAGCAGGATGGCTGGGTGGCTCAGTCAATTAGGCGTCTAACTCTTTGATTTTGGCTCAGGTCATGATCTCAGGGTTATGAGATTGGGCCCCACATTGGGCTCTGCACTCAGCATGGAGTCTGCTTAAGATTCTCTCTCTCTCCCTCTGCCCCTCCCCCACTCTCTCTCTAAAAAGAAAAAGAAAGAAAAAAATAATAACTAGTATACTTTTGACCTGGAAAGACAGAAGTGTTCTTTCCTACAGGCTGCTTTTGGAGGACACGTCTCGGCTGGTTGCCTGTGTCCTCCACAGCAGGTGAAGAAGGTCATGTGTTGCTAGCACCCAGTCACATTGAGAGGAAACTTAATTTTATACAATGAGCATTTTTGGAGAACGAACAAGTTTTATGTTTTATTTAAACTTTATATACCATGTTAATTGCCCCTCTTTTGAGGGCCAGGATAAAGAGTTGGAAAGTTGTGTTTTTTTTCCCCCTTTCATTGTCATTAATTGAATTCCAAAGATGTGTGTTTCAGGGTAGGTAAGTTGTGGCTAGCTGACCCTTGATAATTATGAACATCCATTTCAGATTTTAAATTATGAAATAAGAATTGAAGGAAAAAGTCAAATGTTATAAATTTATTTGGGACATCTATTACCACCTCTTTGGAAGCCTTTGAAAATTCAAGCAAAAATCAATACACTTCCAGCTTTTTCTTTTTTTACTTTCAATAAATAATATCTTTGTGTATATGTATATAGAGATAGATATACTTAATTAATGAGTCATTTAGCAGGATTTTTAAGTTTTATACTGCATTAATTCCAACATAGCTCTTTCCAGATTGATAGAATGTAAATGAGGTAAAAATTAAGGCAAACCTAAAAGGCATGCAAATGTAGCACATTTATCTTCACTGATAATACAAGCTCTTGGGTGTGGACCACCCAGAGGAGCCAAGGCCCCTCCGGGGCCTGTCCAGTACTATTTTACAGGAGAATGGTGACACAGTTTATATTAAGTTACATTACCGTGGGGGGCTCAGTGCTACTAACATGTAATCAAGGAGACACGAGCATTAGCAAAACATGAACAAGAAACCATAGAACTCTTTGCAGCACATTTCTGCCCAGGCTTGAGGGGAGAAGGGATTTTATGAAATGATGTTACACATATCACATTGTGGAAGGTTGTTTTATAATATATGCTTTTAAAATTCATTAGCAAATGACATTCTCATGCACACAAGTGTTTCAAACACAAGAAGCAAGTCCATTGATAGGTAGTCCAAGCAATATTTGTGTGCGTGTGTGTGTGCATGTGTGTACGTGTGTGCGTGTGTGTGTGTGTGTGTGTGTGTGTGAAAGAATAGCTGCAGACTGAATGGAACATTGAGACTTTTGTGCAGTCCATAGCGTTGACCTCAGCTCATTTCTGAATGTCGCACTGCAGAAGTAATACAATGGAAGGGTCGCTCTTTGCAGCTTCTTTGAATTCATCCAGTGTAATCTGGTCATCTTTGTTCTTATCCATCTTGCTGAAAATCTTGTCTACCCGCTGCTCAGGCGTAAGGCCGTCCTCATTCATTTTCATCATGATCACGGTGCCTACCATCTTATAGATAGCCTTGGGAAAACCAGAAACAGACCATAAAGTTCTCCCACGATCTGATAAAGAATTTAAATTTACTTCAAAGGACTCCAAAGTCGTTTTAAGTAAGACAGTGATATAATCAAATCTGTGTGAGTCTTATGACTAATTGGGCATAAAAGAATTTCATCCGACTCCCAGGTTTCTGGCTGGAGGAAGTGGGGAGAAAGAGTACTTCAGTGGTAGGTACAAGAATAATAGATGAGAAGATTCAGGAGGAAAATGATGAGCTCAGTTTTAAACATTCAGGGTTTGAAGTGCAGATGAAAGTCACCAAGCACTAGTCTTAATAGATTTAGGAAAACAAAAAAGGTGGTTCGAACTGATAAGGAACTTACAGTCAGTTAAGACAAGCAAGGTGGGCCAGTAACGTTTGGCTCAGAAAGAAGATAGTGTAGGGAGATCTGTGGATCAGGCACTCTGTAAGTTAAAGAATTCTGACTATCCAGTTCAATTAGCTGTACACAAGTAATTCTCAATGTGGGAATTTCCTAAATAGAAACAAGTTTCTATTGCCCATCTATACCAAGACCTGCTGGTGAATGTTCGTAGCAGCATTATTAATGGCCAAGGAGTGGAAGCAACACCAGCACCCAACAACTGGTAAACAGATAAACAATATGACAGATCTGTGCAATTGAATACTATTTTAGAAATAAAAAGGAACGAAATGCTGATGAATCCTACAACACAGATTAAAAAAAAAAGCCAGACAAGCCATATATTTATATTGTACGATTCTGTTTATACGAAATGTCCAGAGACATAAATCCATAGAGACAAAGAAGAGTGGAGTCTTCTGAGTCTGTAATAGGAACAGGCAGGTGGCAGGAGGGGTCTTACAGGGGGAATGAAAATGTTCTAAAATTGGATTATGGTGATGGCTGCGTACTGTGGTCTATAAATTATAACTCAATAAAGTTTTTAAGATTCCAGTTAGAGGACCCAAGATGCCCACCAGGGGAAAGCTGGTTTGAGGAAGGGGGCAACATCCAGCAGAGCAGAGCTAAACCAAGGGCAGAAGAACAATCTGATAATATCCTTGGCGCCCAGCGGCTTGGATCTGTGACTTTTCCCAGCGCTGCGCCGAGGCCCGGGATGGGGGTCGGGAGAATTCACGGCCTGGCATGCAACTATCCGGGCTCCAGGCCGGGAAGAAAAGAAGTCGCCACAGCCTAGGCTCCAGGAAGCTTCCTCCTGGGGGGTCTGCCTCCTGTGCCCTGCGGCCGTGGTCCTAGCCCGCCCCGCCCCGCCCCGCCCCGCCCGGTCCCAGTCCCGAAG